ATTTTAATTCTTTGTTTCTCTCCAGAGGAAAGGGAATTCCTCTTGTAGTTTTTCTTTTTCGCTACTTTTGAGATTTATGTTTAAGATTTCGGTCTTTGTTTGGGTTAATTTTCAGGTTCGACAGGTCTCCGTACTCCCTCAATGCTTTCATTAAATTTGGTAGTGATGTTCTAGGATTTCCGACATAAAACATCAAATCGTCCGCATAAGCCACTACCTTGTGTTCTCTATCACCTATCTTTATTCCTTTTATGTCTATGTTCTTCCTAATCCTAGACAGTAAGGGCTCCAGTGATAACACATATAGCAATGGAGACAATGGGCATCCCTGTCTTGTGCCATTTGACATCTTAAAATACTCTGATCTTCCTCCATTTACCATTATGGTAGCGTTGGATAGGCCCTCTATATAACTCTCCAATCCAGCCTCTCATTCCACATAAGGGCCGGCTTCTCTCCATTCCCTATTGTACAGCGCTGAGCAAACCCCCCCCATTTGGCGCTATTTCCTGTCCTATAAACTCTGCACAAGTAGTAATGGATAATATTAAAATAATACAGTAATAATAATTCCTAACATTTCCAAAGTGTCCATGCTGCTGATCATAAAACCCCAGCTCACTCTGTCAAATGCCTTCTCAGCATCTATTGACATCAGTATCATTGGGGTTTTCCCTTTTTTGCCATGGCCCAATCCTGTAATAAGCAACAGTGATCTCAAAGCATTATCTCTACCCTCTCTCATAAAACCCCAGACAAACCCCACCTGATCTCCATGTATCCACTCCGGCATCAGCTCTTTTCAGTCTATTTGCCAGAACCTTTGGATAATATAAACAATATTTTTCTGATTGTTTGGAGTGGAATAGATCTGCACAAGAAGAAAGTGAAACTAAGTGTGAGGGGGAGGGGCTGACAGTCTAAGTTTCTTATATATATTATATTTTGTTTAGCCAAATTAGTTACCAAACATGGATGTTTAAGCAAATCACATATGCTGGAATGTTATTGTTTCAGTTGAATAAATCTATTTAAATTGTTATTATTAAGGTAATGATTATTTTTCTCCTTCCTAAGTACAACAGAAAAGTTGTCCAAATATGAATGATTAACCTATTAAACTGGGGATAAAAAAACTAATATGAAAAGTTGTTATTCTAAAAATCTTCATCTACTTGTATATTAAAGTTCTACCAGCAAGAATTAGTCTTTATGTAGAAAACTGGATTTACATCAAACCTTACTGACTAGTGATTTAAATCGTGATTTAAATCAGTTTGATTTAAATCAAATCCACCCTGGTGTAAACCATGTGGTTAGATGGATATTCCCCTCTGTGGAAGATAAAGATAAACTGCCTAAAATAGGTGCTTTATCAGTTTCCCAAAAGGGATGTAGAGTTGTGTCCAAAGGACTTGCAGATAGCGGGCTCTCATCAAGGCACAGCTTGTCAGCAGATTCCAACAGGAGTCAGCAGGATAATCAAAGTAAATGGACAACACAAATCAGCATGCTGCCAGGGAGAGACTTCCATTCACAGCAAAGTGGAAAGGCAGCAGATGAAGCAGTATTCTAGGCAAGCAGTAAGTCCACATATATATACAGTATCTCCCAGAAGTGAGTCCACCCCTCACGTTTTTGTAAATCTTTTATTCTATCTTTTCATGTGACAACACTGAAGAAATGACACTTTGCTACAATGTGACGTAGTCAGTGTACAGCTCCATGCCCAAGAGGGTTAACCCTTTGAGGACTGTAAGATTTTGGAACGCCAAAAGAATCAATTTTTTTGTTTTTAAAGTTCGTACACTTCAGTTGCTGTAACTAAGCCATTTCATGGAATAATTGGCATAAAGCTAGATCCATTTGTTGTTTGTTGATAAGAACTAATATTTTGACTCAAACCAAAAAAAAAAGAGTTTTAAGTTCTTAATCAGATGATACACGCAATTAAAAACATGGGACAAATACGTCCCTTGGTCCTCAAAGGGTTAAGGCAGTGCTGGAAAATAATGGCGGCCACACGGAATATTGACACTTTGGGCCCAATTTGGACCTTGTCACTTAGGGGTGTACTCACTTTTGTTGCCAGCGGTTTAGACATTAATGGCTGTGTGTTGAGTTATTTTGAGGGACAGCAAATTTACATGTTATACAAGCTGTACACTGACTACGTCACATTGTAGCAAAGTGTCATTTCTTCAGTGTTGTCACATGAAAAGAGAGAATCAAATATTTACAAAAATGCTGTGTCTATACAGTTGTGCTCAAAAGTTTGCACCCCCTGCAGAAATTGTGAAATTTTGGCATTGATATTGAAAAAATGACTGATCATGCCAAAAAATGCTCTTTTATTGAAGGATGCTGATCATATGAAGCCATTTATTATCAAATAGTTGTTTGGCTCCTTTTTAAATCATAATTATAACAGAAATCACCCAAATGGCCCGGATCAGAAGTTTTCCTCCCCTGGAATGTTTGGCCTTGGTACCATCACATAAGGTGATACACGTGTGTTAAATTGCCAATTAAGGGTTTATTTACTAAAGCTGGAGAGTCCAAAATCAGACTCCCTTCTGCATAAAAACCAATCAGCTTCTAACCTCAGCTTGTTCAATGAAGGTTTGGCAATGAAACCTGGAAGCTGATTGGTTTCTATGCCGAAGGGAGTCTGATTTTGGACTCTCCAGCTTTAGTAAATAAACCCCTTAGTGTCAGTGTATAAATAATCAATGAGTTTGTTGACTCTCACGTAGAATTACTGACTAGGCTAGATACTGAGCCATGGGGAGCAGAAAAGAACTGCTAAAAGTCAAAATATCTCCGGAAAGAAACTAAAAGGAAACATTGTTACTTTTGGGGAAATAAACTAAAAGGAAACTTTGTTTTAGCTGGGGGGAAAGTGACAGCTGATTCTCTGTGCTATAGTGAAGAGAAAAAAAAATGGTAATTACATTTAAAAACTGGCACTGACCTATAGTGACAGTCACTGTATACATTCCTCTCCAGGGGCGGACTGACCATTTGTAAACTCTGGAACTGCCCGAGGGCAGTTAGGGGGCCCCAGTAGCCCCTGGAACCTTTTTCATAGGCTTTTTTGAGTTTGGGCAAGGACACCGGGGCCCCATGATCCCCTATTGCCCGGGGGCCCCATGAGTTGTCAGTCTGCCCCTGCTCCTCTCCTGCCTTTCTAAGCCTTCCCTCCCCCCTCTTCCCCCACATTTGCAGTACACACAGTCTCCTGTATCTGCACCTGTATCGGCTATATGCCTATAGGGCTATTTTCGGCCGATATGTTGCGTTGGCCGAAATTTCGGTGCATCCCTACCAAAAACGCAACTTTTTGCATGCAAAAAAGTCCCTGACCCTTTCCAAAAAACGCACCAGGTGAAAACGCACAGGTGTGTACATTTCACATAGGAAATCATGTTAAATGGACTGTACTGCGTTTCTGCAAAACGCTGCAGAAAACACTTAGGTGTGAACCTGGGATAAGTCGGCAGAGATCAGCGGTAATGCATCCGGTAAATGCAGAGCTGTGCCAGAAAGCTGCTGTTGGAGAGAGAACAGTCAGGGGGAACACAAGCATCTTAGATTAACCTCTTCACGCCGGCCGAACGCAATTGTGCGGCCTCCCAGCGTCTGGGCCTAGACGCCGAGCGGTCACACATTTGCGTTCTATTAAAAAAAGACATATGTGCTGAGAGTGCGCACCACATGTCCGGCACTCACGGAAAGGTCCCGGTCTCCTCTTTCGATCGGAACCTTTCCCGATCATGTGACCGCCATGACAACGCGTCTCGGTGGTCACATGACCCTAAAACCCCACCCCGCCTGTCCTGGCTTCTGAAACTCTTAAAGGGCCGGGAGGCACAGGCGTGAAGGGGTTAAATTTGGCAGCTTCTCGTTTCAGGGCACAGATGCCTCTTTGTCCGTTCCCCAAAATGCGTAGCCACATCCCTCGTTGACGCTCCACAGAAGGCTTGTCAAGGTCCTACCTTTTCCCAGAGGTTACGCTGCTCCATGTGCTGGCATCCATCTTGGGTTTCTGCAAAGCATGGTGGGAGCCTTTTATGCTTTCAGGCCTCTGCGGTCCATCCCCCAGAGGGGCGTGGTCTGCACGTGCTCTTTGCATTCGTGTCCTGTATGATAGTGTTGTTGCAGCTCTTATTCTACTCTCGTGGCTCTCCTGGAAACTGACTCGGCTTTGTCTAAAACTATTCTCAGCCTTATCCCTTTATCTGACCTCCCGTTGCTGAACCCGGCTTGTGACCTGTTATTCTTGTCAACCGTTCTGTTACTGTCTGTCCCGCTGTTATCGACCCGGCCTGCCCGACTACGCTATCGTTGTTATCTGGTTCCTACCAGCTATACGCCATTGGCGGCGGCCATTACCGCAGCTGGGGTTTCCTGGGGGGGCCACGACCTGGTCCCTGGCTGCGTCAAGTCCATCCCCACCATCAGGGGCCCTGGTGAAGGGCAGCCTGGGGCTTAGACTCCGCGCCCTGAGGGACTCCGGTCTGTGGGTGGTGGTTGTCGTCAGTCGGTGTGTGACCCTGCCATTAGGCCTGCCTGTCCATTCCACAGCTCCTGCCCTGACAGGGCTTCCCCTTGGACTTTATGACATGCTGACCTTCCTAATAACGCAGTGCATTTTTCTTGTCAGCCCTTGTTTTTAATAGTCTACACTTAGAAGGTGGCGCCCTATTCTGTTTGCAATCTTCAGCAGTAACTGTCACTGAACCTTTATTATCACATACCATTCCCACCCCTAATAATAAGCTCCACCCCCATACTGATCAGTCTGTCAGCGCAATTTTATAAGTTTATGTTTCTGTAACAACTGAAGCATTTCCCGGACAGAAGTTCAATGTTTGATTGTATGTCTTTTCTTGGTTAGTAAAAATATTTTTTTTAGGGATGGTACAGAACCATCAATGTGTTTTGTTTTTGTTTTTTTTGTTGTTTTTTTGTAATAAGACATCTGTGTTTGTTGGCAGGATTTCAGTGCGAGGCGATCCCGCTGTTTCAGCCGCAGTTTTCTCCGAGGAACCTGGTTCTGGTCGCTGCAAAATACATTTCAGATTTAGGCGATCTTCTGGAGGAGATGACAGCGAGCGACTCGGCAACGTAACATCACATCGTTTTATTGTTTTAACGTGTTATTTATTACTAAATAAAAGGGGCTGTCCTGAGACCAGCCTTGTGTGTAGAAATTGTTTGAGGCTACCAAATATAACATCCAGATTGTAGCTATAAAACGTGATTTCAGATTTGGAAGTGTCTGGAGAGGAAGTCATATTTCCAGTGAGTTGTCCTGTCCATGAAAATGATCCAACATGTGTGAACCAAAATTTGTTCTGTCCTGTGCACACTATGGTGTGCGGGCAGCACAGTGGCTAAATGGTTAGCACTTCCACCTGGCAGTACTCGGGTCATTGGTTCGTATCCCAACCACGGCACCACCTGCTTGGAGTTTGCATGTTCTCACTGTGCCTGCGTGGTTTTCCTTCAGGTACTCCGGTTTCCTTCAACACTCCAAAGACATGCTGGTAGGTGAATTGGCTCCTGTCTAAATTGTCCCCAGTATGTGTATGTATGAATGTGAGTTAGGGGCCTTAGATTGTACGCTCCTCGGGGGCGGGGACTGATGTGAATGTACAATATATATATAAAGTGCTGCGTAAACTGTCGGTGATACATAATTGCCTGAAATAAATAAAATAAATTCACTAAAACTGAGGGTCAGGGACTGATGTGAATGCCAACCACAGCACCATCTGCCTGGAGTTTGCATGTTCTCCCTGTGCCTGCATGGTTTTCCTCCAGTTACTCCGGTTTCCTCTCACACTCCAAAGACATGCTGGTAGGTGAATTGGCTCCTGTCTAAATTGGCCCTAGTATGTGTATGTATGAATGTGAGTTAGGGACCTTAGATTGTACGCCCCTTGAGGGTTAGGGACTGATGTGAATGGCAACCACGGCACCACCTGCCTGGAGTTTGCATGTTCTCCCTGTGTCTGCATGGTTTTCCACTGGGTACTCCGGTTTCCTCCCACACTCCAAAGACATGCTGGTAGGTGAATTGGCTCCTGTCTAAATTGGCCCTAGTGTGTATGAATGTGCGTTAGGGGTCTTAGACTTTATGCCCCTTGAGGGTTAGGGACTGATGTGAATGCCAACCATGGCAGCACCTGCCTGGAGTTTGCATGTTCTACCTGTGCCTGTGTGGGCTTCCTCCAGGTACTCCGGTTTCCTCCCACACTCCAAAGACATCCTGGTAGGTGAATTGGCTCCTGTCTAAATTGTCCCTAGTATGTGTATGTATGAATGTGAGTTAGGGACCTTAGATTGTACGCCCCTTGAGGGTTACGGACTGATGTGAATGTACAATATATACTGTATGTAAAGTGCGGCGTAAACTGACGGCGATACATAAGTACCTCAAATAAGTAAAATAAATTCACTAAAACTGGAGCAGCTCTTTATAGAAACCAATCAGCTTCCAGGTTGTTTTTCTTTTTTCTTTTTTTTTTGTCAAAGCTTTATTGAACAAACTGACGTTTGAAGCTGAATGGCCACCATGCAGATCTGCACTAGATTTTGCACTCTCCAGTTTTAGTAAATCGGCTCCATTGCATGGGAAAATGTGCAGACATTACAGAGATTTATTACACATTTTTTTCAAATCTTTTACACAAACATACAATTTACAGCAGACAGAGAAGTAAAAATGCAAAGTTCTCTTATACCAAAACGAGATTTATACTTTCCTTACCTTACCTCTTCTGGCCGTGGAACTGGACGTCCCTCCAAAATTGATGAAAAGACGAAAAGAAAACTGGTCTGGGGGGCTGCCAACAGGCCTAAAGCAACATTAAACAAGCTGTAGGAATATCTGGCAAGTCCTGGCTGTGTGGTCCATGTGACAACCATCTCCCGTGTTCTTCATATGTCTGGGCTATGGGGTAGAGTGGCTGGACAGAAGCTTTTTCCTACGAAGATAAACATCCAAGCCCGGCTAAATTTTGCAAAAACACATCTGAAATCTCCCAAAAGCATGTGGGAAAATGTGTTCTGATCTGATAAAACCATAGTTGAACCATAGTTGAACTTTTTGGCCATAATTCCAAAAGATATGTTTGGCGCGCAAAAACAACACTGCACATCACCAAAAGAACACCATACCTACCGTGAAGCATGGTGGTGGCAGCATCATGCCTTGGGGCTGTTTTTCTTCAGCTGGAACTGGGGCCAAGGGGGTCAAGGTAGAGGGAATTATGAACAGTTCCAAATACCAGTCAATATTGGCACAAGACCTTCAGGCTTCTGCTAGAAAGCTGAACATGAAGAGGAACTTCATCTTTCAGCACGACAACGACCCAAAGCATCCATCCAAATCCACAAAGGAATGGCTTCACCAGAAGAAGATGAAAGTGTGGAATGGCCCAGCCAGAGCCCAGACCTGAATCCCATGGAAAATCTGTGGGGTGATCTGAAGAGGGCTGTGCACAGGAGATGACACGCAATCTGACAGATTTGGAGTGTTTTTGCAAGGAAGAGCGGGCAAATATTGACAAGTCAGGATGTGCCATGCTGATAGACTCCTCCCCAAAACCACTGAGTGCTGGAATCACATCAAAAGGGGCTTCAACAAAGTATTAGTTTAAGGGTGTGCACACTTATGCAACCATATAATTTTTTTTTAATTATTATTTTTACTTCCCTTCACCTAAAATATTTGTTTGTTGTTCAAACCTGCATTCACTATATCTGCTTTCCCCAGACCCTGCTTTCACTATATCTGCTTTCCCCAGACCCTTCTTTCACTATATCCGCTCTCCCCGAACCCTGCATTCACTATATCCGCTCTCCCTGGACCCTGCATTCACCATATCCGCTCTCCCCGGACCCTGCATTCACTATATCCGCTCTCCCCGAACCCTGCATTCACTATATCTGCTCCCCTGGACCCTGCATTCACTATATCCGCTCTCCCCGGACCCTGCATTCACTATATCCGCTCTCCCAAGACCCTGCATTCACTATATCTGGTCTCCCCGGACCCTGCATTCACTATATCCGCTCTCCCCGGATCCTTCATTCACTTTTTTTTTTTTAGTTTTACCAGGTTTTTTGTTTTTTTTTTGTTTTACCAGGTTTTTTTGGAGCTTTAGGCATTCTGATTCAGGTGACTTGGAGTGGAGATGTGAACCATCCCCATAGGGTGATAGTGATCTTTTTCCCCCCTGAGCGTTTTGGAGTTTTGAACTGGGGAATCCTCGCGTGCTACAATGAAACACAATGTTACTCTATGGGGAGGAGCTGTCCATGGTGCTGAATAGGTTTTCTTTTTATAAAAGTTTGAAGTTTTGACTTTATATACAGTTGTGTTCAAAATAATAGCAGAGTGTTGAAAAAAGTGAATAAAGCTGAAAATCCTTCTAATAGCTTTTATTTCCATCCACACAAATGCATTGTGAACACGACACATTCTATTCCAAATCAAAACATGAAGAAAAATACATCAAATTTGTGTTGTTCCTCTAAAAAAATTGTAGAAAAGTGAATATTAGACGGTTCAAAAAAATCGCAGTTTTTGTATTCTTCTTTACAAACTCAAACATTCACTATATAAACTGAGAAATGTTTGAAGATTTTGCTTTCCTTTGAATGACTTCATGAATATTTGGTTGTAGTCGCACTGTTTCTGAGAACTGCTGTACATCTGTGTTGCATGGAGTCACCCAACTTCTGGCCCCTGTGATCAGGTATTCCAGCCCAGGATGATTGGACCACATTCCACAGTTCTTCTCTATTTCTTGGTTTTGCCTCAGAAACGGCATTTTTGATGTCACCCCACAAGTTTTCTATTGGATTAAGATCCGGGGATTGGGCTGGCCACTCCATAACGTCCATCTTGTTGGTCTGGAACCAAGATGTTGCACGTTTACTGGTGTGTTTGGGGTCGTTGTCTTGTTGGAACACCCATTTCAAGGGCATTTCCTCTTCAGCATAAGGCAGCATGACCTCTTCAAGTATTCTGATGGATTCAAACTAATCCATGATCCCTGGTATGCGATAAATAGGCCCAACACCGTAGTATGAGAAACATCCCCATATCATGATGCTTGCACCACCATGCTTCACAGTCTTCACAGTGTACTGTGGCTTGAATTCAGTGTTTGGGGGTCGTCTGACAAACTGTCTCCGCCCACTAGACCCAAAAAGAACAATCTTACTTTCATCAGTCCACAAAATGTTGCGCCATTTCTCTTTAGGCCAGTCAATGTGCTCTTTGGCAGATTGTAACCTCTTCAGCACACGTCTTTTCCAAACAGTGGGACTTTGCGGGGACTTCTTGCAGATAGCTTGGCTTCACATAGGCGTCTTCTAATTGTAACAGTCCTCACAGGGAACGTCACACCTTCTTTCATCTTCCTGGAGCTGATTGTTGGCTGAGTCCGCGCCATTTTGGCTATTCTTCTATCCATTCCAATGGTAGTTTTTCGCTTTCTTCCACATCTTTCAGGTTTTGGTTGCCATTTTAAAGCATTTGCGATCATTTTAGCTGAGCAGACGATCATTTTCTGCACTTCTTTATATGTTTTCCCCCTCTCCAATCAACTTTTTAATCAAGGTACGCTGTTCTTCTGAACAATGTCTGGAACGACCCATTTTCCTCAGAATTTCAGAGAGAAATGCACTGTAACCAGCATGTACAACATTTGCTGCCTTCCTTCCTTAAATAAGGGCAATAATTGCCACCTGTTTTTTCGAAGAATGAATGACCTCACTAATAGAACTCCACACTGCTATTATTTTGAACACGCCCCTTTCAATGAGTGATTCAATGACACAGAATCAGCAGCATGCATGTCATGACTGTTGGGTCTGTTGGATTTCTATTACTCTACTACACCTGCTAGGAAATTATTTGCCATGTAGAAATATCATTTCCACCAACAACAATGATTGATCCGGTTAGTGATGTCTGACTGCTTTTTGAACACAACTGTACTTTACACCCCGGTCATACCGATCCGACATTGAAATCGTGCGACTTCCAGTGAAGTCACACGATTTCAAAGTCGGATGGTATTCGACTTGCAAGACACTTGCAGAGTACTTCCT